GCCTAGTGAGCCCCGGCACCAGCTTTCTTCTTCTTTTTTAATATTTATTTATTTATTTGAAAGTCAGAGTTACAGAGAGGTAGAGGCAGAGGGGAGGGAGGGAGAGAGAGAGAGAGAGAGAGGTCTTCCATCTGCTGTTACACTCCCCAGATGACTGCAACAGCTGGAGCTGTGCCGATCCGAAGCCAGGAGCCAGGAGCTTCTTCCAGGTCTCCCACACGGGTGCAGGGGCCCAAGGACTTGGGCCATCTTCTACTGCTTTCCCAGAACATAGCAGAGAGCTGGATCAGAAATGGAGCAGCCGGGACTCATACTAGCGTCTATATAGGATGCCAGCACTGCAGGCGGAGGGTTTATCCACGACGCCACAGCGCCGGCTCCCCAAGAACTGTTTTTCATAGGGTATGGAGGTCTCTGCTGTGAGTGCCACGACTGTTTTCCTGAATCTCAGGGCCTGCACTGTGATTCTCCCACCAGGGTTCTCCAGGGATCCCTTCCTGCATGTTTTACTAATTCTGACACACACCATGGGGCCTGCTGGGTCGTGTGCCCCAAGCGGCAGAGCTGTTATGCCATGTCCCAGACCAGCTGGAGTGTCCTTTCTTGTTCTAAGCCCTCTCAGAGCTGGCAGCCTTCCATATCGCTTAATACATGAGCAGGAGTGATATTCCTACATGCAGACCGTGCCGCTCCACAATCCTGAGATTCCAGGCTCTGTGCTGCTTTCTTTATGGTGCGGGTGAAAGATGCTGCAATTTCTCTCTCATTTTGGAGAGCTTTTTCTTCAAAAAGAAGACCATGGGACACCTAGAAGCTGCACTACAGTATCTGGTTCCTGAATCTTCGTGGAGTTTATCTCCCAATTTTGGAACACATGTCTTACCAAGGTATTCAGCTACCTCCACCTGACCACAGCACACCCAATAGAAAGAGAGTTGCCCACTTATCTGGGAGCTATCTAAGCTGCCAAATCATAGATCTGGTGAGCCTGGAGCATCCCACCATCAAGGGGAAGTTTCATATATATATAAGGTCAGGTTCAAAGAGCTTCTGAAGACCCAGGCAAATCACATGAGCAGGTGGCTCTCAGGGTGCTTTTTCCATTCTGTACTTTGTAACTCTCGTGGGAAGTTTTCTACAGTCAGTTGATAAAGGAAGAAAAAAGTCAAGCCCAGGTCACAGACAGCTTTCCTTGTTGTGATGTCACCAGTCAAAATCAAATGGCAACAGCAGTCCACATGTATGTGTGTGTGGAGGGGAGCCTGAAGGAAAACAGAGAACAGGCACCTTCCCTTGGAACGTCACTTTTCAGTTCATCTCATGGTCCATTTGCCAAGGAAGACAGGTGGACTGAGATGAAGACCTATACAAATTCAAGAGCAGGGCCTAAGGGTACAGTTGCATGGTCACAAACTTGGAAGAAAGACCAGAACATCAAAGAATTGGTAGCTGGAGATTTAGAGAAAATGTATGTGAATGGCCCCAGAATGTAAGAATATCTGTGTCCCGTGTGAATGATCATCAGATAGCCTTTGAGGTTGATAGGTTCTGAATAATCATCAGTGAACAAGATTAGCCATTCCCCAAACAGGTCAGTATTTGCCCAGTTATTCATGGGCTTACATGGGTTTCCCCTCCACAAAGCTGATCCGGCTTCTGCCACTACTGAATGTCAGCCTGACCTTGGCCCTCAGTGCCACATACCTTGAGTCTCTGCTTCACTACTGTGGTTATCAGGAAAAGACTGCCACCTAGTGGCAGGTTGATTACATGGGTCCTCTTTCTGTTACTCTAAATAATAAGCGGGTAATTTGTCCTCATTGGAAGAGAAATTTATTCTGGGCAATCTGCATTCTTGCCTTTCATGTATCTGCCATCAATACTATCCTTGAACTTAATGCCTCATTCATTAGAAGAGTAAACAACACAGCATTGTTTCTTGGTCAAGGAATTTATCTTACAGTAAAAGAAATAAGGCCAGAAAGGGTGTTGTGTTAGGCTACTGCTTGGGACACTTGAGTTTGATTTCCAGCTCCGCTTCTGATCCAGCTTCCTGCCAATGCACACCCTGGGAGGTGGTAGATGATGGCTCACGTGCTAGGGTTCCTGCCACCTACATGGAAGACCTGGATTGAGTTCCTGGCTCCTGGCTTCAGCTTAGCCCAGTTCTGGCTATTACAGGCATTTGGGAGTGAACCAGATGATGGAAGATTCTCTCTCCCTCTCTCCCTCCCCCACCCCCTTTCATCTGCCTTTCAAAATAAATAAAAACAGTTTTTTAAAAAGAGAAGAAATAGGGGCCGGCGCCGTGGCTCACTTGGTTAATCTTCCACCTGTGGCACTGGCATCCCATATGGGCTCCAGGTTCTAATCCGGTTGCTCCTCTTCCAGTCCAGCTCTTTGCTGTGGCCCGGGAAGGCAGTGGAGGATGGCCCAAGTGTTTGGGCGCCTGCACCTAGAATTAAAAATTCTAGAATTAAAAGAGAGAGAGAGAGAGAGAGAGAAGAAATAAGGCTATGTCTCTGAGACTCACTGACCTTAATATATAATTCACCTCCCGAAAATCTTAGCATTCAAGGTAATCTACTTAAAATTCAGTGCCCTGAAGGGAATGGGGGTCTAGCCTCTAGGAAATGAGACTACAGGAATAAGGTGGGAAAGCGAGATGCTGGCTTCTATCTGGAGTTCAGGACAGAGTTAATATGAAGCTGGAAAAGTCATGCAACGAGCAAGCACTGAGCCCCGCAGTTAAGCCGCCCCTGGAGACGGCCACATCCCATACTGAAGTCCCGGCTTTGCTTGATCCCAGCTTCCTGCCAAGGCACACCCCGGGGGGCAGTTGTTATGGCTTGAGTTTTTGGGTCCCTGCTACCTTCATGGGAGAGACTTGGATTGAGTTCCTGGATCCTCTCTCTCTCTCTCTCTCTCTCTCTGTTTCTATCTCTCTGAATCTTTTAAATAAATAAAAAATACATCAATAATTTTAAGTCTAGCTTTTGGAAAATCATAAAGCTCTTTGAAAAAGCCAAAAAGAAAGAAAATCCATGAGACCCAGCAAGAAGGAGTGTAGAGTGGATCCAGCTTCTTCTTTATTTATTTATTTATTTATTTGACAGGCAAAGTGGACAGTGAGAGAGAGAGACAGAGAGAAAGGTCTTCCTTTGCCGTTGGTTCACCCCACAATGGCCGCCGCGGCCAGCGCACCGAGCTGATCCGAAGGCAGGAGCCAGGTACTTATCCTGGTCTCCCATGGGGTTCAGGGCCCAAGCACTTGGGCCATCCTCCACTGCACTCCCAGGCCACAGCAGAGAGCTGGCCTGGAAGAGGGGCAACCGGGACAGAATTCGGCGCCCCGACCGGGACTAGAACCTGGTGTGCCAGCGCCGCAAGGCGGAGGATTAGCCTAGTGAGCTGCGGCGCCGGTCCAGCTTCTTCTTTTTTTGAAGATTTATTTATTTGAAAGTCAGAGTTACATAGAGAGAGAGGAGAGGCAGAGAGAGAAAGAGGTCTTCCATCTTATGGCTCACTCCCCAGATGGCAGCAATGGCCAGGGCTGAACCAATCTGAAGCCAGGAGCCAGGATCTTCTTCCGGGTCTTCCACATGGGTGCAGGGGTCCAAGGATTTGGGCCATTCTCCACTGCCCTCCCAGATCGTAGCAGAGAGCTGGATCAGAAGAGGAGCAGCCAGGACTAGAACCGGCGCCCATATGGAATGCCAGCGCTTCAGGCCAGGGTGAACCCGCTGCGCCACAGCGCTGGCCCCCTAGCTTTTTTTTCCCATGGCCTTTGTGGGGACCCTATTCAGAGTGGGATGGTCACATTTAGAGTTGTTTGCGGCTGGGAGAGCCTGAGCTGCTTTTGTCATCTCTGTTGGCTCAACATGCTTTTAAAAAAATGTTTTAGGGCTGGCATTTTGGTGTAGCAGGTAAGACTGCCACCTGCAATGCCAGCATCCAATATGGGAGCTGGTTCAAGTCCTGGCTACTCCACTTCCTATCCAGCTTGCTGCCAATGGCCTGGGAAAAGCAATAAAGGAAGGCCCAAGTGTTTGGGCCCCTGTTACTCATGTGGGAGACTCAGATGAAGCTCCCAGATCCTGGCTTTGGCCTGGCCCAGCTGTGGCCATTGCAGCCATTTGGGGAGTGAATCAGTGGATGGAAGATTCTCTCTCCCTCTCCTTTTCTTTCTCTCTCCCCGTAACTCTGACTTTCAAATAAATAAATGAAAGGCAGAGAGAAAAAGAGAGAGAGAGAGATACAGGGAGACTGAGAGATCTTCCATCTGCTGGTTCACTCCCCAAATACCTGAAACAGCCAGGGTGGGGACAGCCAAAGCCAGGAACCAGGAATTCTAGCCATTCTCCCACCTTGGGGACAGGGACTCAAGAACTTAGGCCATCATCTGCTGCTTCCCATGTGCCTGAGCAGGGAGCTGGATAGGAAGGCGGGTGCTGGATTCCATCCCAGGCACTGCAGCACGGGTTGCAGGCATCCCAGGCAGTGGTTTAACCTGCTGTGCCACAGCGCATGCCCCAGCTTGCCTTGTCATGCAGCCCTTTGTCCTGTTTTTTTCCCAGTCTGTGCTCACATCCATTTCATTGACCACCACTCATGCCGCTGCATCTCCATGAAGCCTTCCTTCACTGGCCACAGCAGCCCAGAGTGATCTACTCCTCATCCATAACGCTTTCTGTCTGTATAATTTGTTTGGCATTTATCATTCATTCTTCAATGATAAATGGACATATCTTGTTTTTCCAAGTGGATTCACAGGGACAACTGCACAGACTTCATGGCAGGAGCACAGTCACTGACGCAGCTGGATATCTACAAATGCACACGGAATGATTGATTGTCTAATATAACTGTGCATGATAAGGAGTAAGTGCCATAGACAGTCACGGAGGGAAGCGAACAGAACACAGTGCGCAGCAGGCACTCAATAATCATTTGAATGAATAAGTGAATGATTAAACTGAGAAATGAGCTGATCGGTTGGGGGAGGTGGCAGGAAGGAGGTGGGGTGGGGGTGGGGGGCTTAATTTTGCTTGAGGAGTAAAGCCGTGTTTAGAAAAGAGAAGCAAGAAGCCAGAGACTGAAGCCTCACCCTCCTCAACTGGGAGGCCCTCCACACCCCCCTCCCCACCCATCCTGAGGTTGCTTCATAGAGAAGTGTGGTCACTGGCAAACAAGCCCCAGAAGAGCAGGAGAGCAAACTTCATTTGTCGCAGAGCCGATCACGTGTCCCGCCTGCCTTCGGTCTCCAGGACCATGACACAGCACAACATTTTGGTGAGTAGAGCCAACACCCAGAGATTGGTTCTAGGCCAGTCCTTACGGCCCAGGCTGGAATGAGGCAAGTCTGTGTCCTCCTCCATCATCTGAAACAGGCCAGTGTTGACTCCCTCTTCAGCTCTGTGCTGTTCTGGGAGGTTCGGCGGCCGCCTGGAGAATATACCGCAGGATAAGATCAGTTCAGGTGGAATGGAAGCCCAAGACCGTCTCTGAGACAGTAATGGATAAACTGCAATTTTGGCATCATTTCTTGTCTCTGCTGAGTCATGGGCTGGCTAACGTGCTGCATTTTTTACTTAGCTGTTTCTTATGTCCCAGGGGTAGGGGGTAGGGAGGAACCTTGGGAGTTCTGCAGAAGGGAGGACAGCTATTTGTTATTCCTTGTCTCAGACACTCTGGAAGGTTCCAGATGAGCACAAGGATATTGGCAGGCTCAGCCTGGGGACTTCTCGATCCCGTATCTGGAATAAGGTTTTTGCATAAAAGAGCCAGAGGGATGCCAGACTGTCAAGGCCAACCACAAGCCACGGGTGCCATCGATACAGCGTGTTGTTATCTCCATCACCTCTCAATCACGGAGTGGTTTTCCCGGACCAGGACTCACTTATGAGGGCCACTTATTTTCTTTACTGTCAGTTCATTAATCACTTTTACTACTTATGGCTAAATCTTAGTCCAAATTCTTTCTTACCAGTTCTCGCTTTATAAAATAGCTTTCCTTGACTGGGTTTATTCTGATTAATTAGCATGGTTTTTCTGCCGTCACCCTTATTGTTTTAGGGGAAAAAAGATTACTTCTTTAGAGGGATATTATGCCAAGTCATTTTTTCTTTTTGCCTTTTTGGGATTCTTTTTGCCCTTATGAAGGAAGTTCTTAAATGCATTACTTTCATCAGGCAGTTTTAATTCTGTTTACTGTTTATATAAACGGGAACTGATTAATATTCAGAACTTTCCTTTTTCGATCCAAGTCCCTTTATGAAAATTAGGCCACGACAGTTTGCCAAGTGAAGAAAGAAAGAGAAAGAAAAGGGCTACTGAACTCTGGCTGGAACGGTGCAGTGGTGTTGAATAATGCCAGAGATCCTAAAGCTATCACTAGCTTTATTATGCCTTTTAAAAGCTATTTTTATTTATTTGATAGAGAAAAATGTCCACAACAGTGGGGGCTGGGTCAGGATCCAAGCCAGGAGTCAGGAACACAATCCAGGTCTCCCACGCTGGGGGTAGGAATCCAAATATCCTGCCACCTTCTACTACCCAATCAATCTCACCGCCCTGAATCACCCCTTATTCTCCCCTACTTGGCTGAGGCTGATACTGAGTCTCAGCCGTGATGACCTGCTTTGATATATGTCTCCGGTTTGTCCTGGCTCTTGGTTTTGGACACAGTCCTGGAATTTGCCCTGTTAGCTCTTGCTTTCAGGCCTTTGAAGAGACACCCTCTGCCTCTGATGTCCACTTGCCAGCTCCCTGTTAGGGGAGGGGAGCCTGACCCAGCTCTGACACAGGGTCAGGGCGACATCAGGAACAGACCAGTGAGAGCTGGCAAAGCCCCATTTCAAGAGTAACAAGTCAGGCAGGGAAACAGCAAGGAAGCATGCCAGCGCCCCCAGCATGGCCAGTGACCCTGGGGGGAAGTTTCTGAAGGACGGTGTGGACTTTGGAACCCTCAGACTTTACGGTTGAAGATGATCCGGAGTTAGATTCCGCAACTTGGTCTTCGTAAGACTTGCTTTCGTATGGCCCGGCTCACTCGCTCTGTGGTGGGAAGAGTGAATGTTAGTGTGTTGGGTTGTCTGTAGAGGGATTTTCTGACATTCCTGGTGGAAGCTGAAGGCAAAGCACAGGGAAATGTGCTCCAAACCTGTCTACCTGGGTCTGGTGCAAGACACAGGCAGTTAGTTAGCTGTGTTCTATTGCGATTGGCAGGACCCGCTAACCAGATACTTACCTGGCCTCTGTGTGTCCTTAAGAAACATATACAGTCAGGGATGAAGCCAAGCAAAACAGCTCTGGCTCAGAATTTGAGCCCAAACCCCATTTGGTTTGTAGATGTGCTAGATGTGCTGAAACCATGGCAACTGCAGAAGTCTCTTTCATCATTTTTTAAAAGATTTATTTGAAAAGTACAGTGATACAGAGAGAGATCACCCATCCACTGGTTCATCCCCCGAATGGCTACAATGGCCAGGGCTGGGCCAGGCCGAAGCCAGGAGCCAGGAGCTTCTCCTGGGTCTCACACATGGGTAGCAGGGGCCTAAGCACATGGGCCGTCCTCTGCTGCTTTCCCAAGGTGCCTTAGCTGGATTTGATGTGGAGCAGCTGGGACTCGGGAGGCTGGCATCCATTACAGGTGTGGTTAACCCGCTGTGCCACAATGCTGGCCCCATTCTCCTTTATCTTCCTAATAGGACTCTCCCTTCTAGGGCTCCCACTCACAAGACCTTACCCCAGCCGTCAGCCCCTTCCTTGACCCTCACCTCACTCCTAGGCCATCTAAGGGCAACCCAAAGGCCAACCTTACCACACAACTGCCTCCCTTTCCAAGAGGAGAGGAGCAGTTGCAAGGCCATGCGACGGTAACTGAGGGGTGGGCATTTGGCCTGCAGCTAAGAGTGTCTGGGTTTGATACCAGCCCTAGATCCTGACTGCGCCTTCCTGCTAATGCAGACCCTGGGAGGCAGCAGCTGATGGCTCAAGTAACTGGGCCCCTGACATCTCCATGGGAGATCCACATTGAAGTCCCAGCTCCTGGCTCTGACCTCAGCCCAGTCCCTGCTTGTGGGCTTTTGGAGAGTGAGCTAGCATAGGGGAGCCCTCTCTCTCTCTCTCTCTCTCTCTCTCTCTCTCTCTGCTTCTCAAATAAATAAGTGGAGCTGACAGCCTCAGAAGGAGTCTCTCTGACATAACAGAGGCCTCTTCGACTTAACACATACCCAAATGATGGGGCAACACCCAACAGAAGTGTGGTGGGGCCAGAACTTATGGGTTTATTCCTGAGTATACATGAGATACTCCTGGGGGACGTCTCAAAACATTTGCGTGGAATTGGGAGGGAAAACTTGTAGGGGGTGAGGTCATGAGTGGGTGGGGGTGATGAGCTTGGAAATGCACATAAAGACTCCCCTATGACCTCATTTGTATTCCAGGCTGGAGGCCTGGGTTCATCCAGGTTTTGTGAAAGAGGCTAAAGAGGTCTGCAGGCTTTCCTCAACCCTTTGAAGCTGCTTTCTTGCAAAGGAGGGACAGGAGTGCTCTGTTTCAGTTTGATTTCATCAGGCCCACCGGGTAATTCCATTAGTGAAATATTTTAAAGAGTGAAAACCCCTGTTATTTACACCTCATGTGCTGATACGCCAGATGATCTTGAAATGGGGAAGTCAAAGCATAGAACTTGATCGTTTCTCTGTGATGATGCAGCACTCCCCACGTTGCACAGTTAGGCAGTAAGACTTCTTTGTAGTTTAAAACAATAAGCAGACAGTTTTGCAAATGCCTAGATTTCCAAGCTCTAGGTAGGAATTGCTCCCTTTAAAAATATATATTAGGGACAGCATTGTGGCAAAGTGGCATTGTGGTGCAGCATCCCGTGTCAGAGGGCCGGTTCAAGTCCCAGCTGCTCTGCTTCCAGTTCAGCTCTCTGCTAGTGAGCCTGGGAAGGCAGTGGAAAATGGCCTAAGTGCTTGGGCTCCTGCACCCCTGTGGGAGAGCAAGATGAAGTTCCTGTCTCCTGACATCTGCCTGGCCCAGTCCTGGCTTTTGCAGCCAAATGGGGAGTGAACCAGCAGATGGAAGACCTCTCTCTTCGTCTCTTTTCCTCTCTTTGTATAGCTTTTTCTTTCAGATAAATAAATCTTTAAAAAAGTGAATATTAATGAAATTATAATGATTTTAAGATTTATTAATTTATTTGAAAGGCAGAGTTACAGAGAGAGATCTTCCATCCACTGGTTCATTCCCCAAATTGTGCAGATACTAGGCTGGGATGGTCTGAAGCCAGAAGCCAGAAGCCAGAAGCCAGGAGCTGCATCTGGGTCTCCCATATAGTTAGTAGGCCAAAGGACTTGGACCATCTTCCATTGCTTTCCCAGGTGCATTAGCAGGAAGCTGGATTGGAAGTGGAGCAGCCAGGACTCAAACCAGTGCCCATATGGAATGCCAGTGCTGCAGGCTTTAACCCACTCCCTTTAACCCACTGTGCCACAGTGCTGGCCCATACTGATGTGTTTTTTTAAAGGATTGTACTCTAAAAAGAAAAGTGTTAATGAATTAGTACTAATATGAATACTTTAAATTATGCTTCTCAGGAATTTGGCAATTACTGATGCCATTTTTCTATTTCTTCCTCCATGTCTATCTTTTCCCTTCCTTTTATATCATCTCTCTTATCCTTAAATGACAATTTGGAACTGGATTTTTTACAACTAATTTTTGTTAAATAGAATTTTCTGTTCCTTACTAAAACTAAAAGACAAAATGACATTGCTTTTATCTTCTAAAGGCTTTTTGGCTGAAACATCCCTAAGGCCATTGATCCTTGAGAGATAAAGCATTCAGAAACCGCATCAGTGGGTGTTCCCACAAGGAGGGTGGAAACAGGCTGTGCGCACAGCTTCCCCCCACCCTTCTCCCCCACCCCCGCCCCACCACTGTGTCTCCTTCCGGAGGTGGGGACTTTTTCCGATGGGGTGGGCTGGCAAGGACAGAGCTGGAGGAGGAAGTGTGAGGGAGAGAAAGGCTGGCATCCCCTTTATGTGACTGCTCCATCTGCCGTTGACCTTGTCTATGTTCCCAATCTCAGGCTGCAGTTCCGCTTCTAGATAACCAGCCTCCTCCTTGGTCCATGACAAGGGTTTTTTTTTTTTTTTTTTTTTAAGCTTGGGGAACAAAATCCTACTTAAGAAAACAGGTTGGTATTTACATCTGATTTGAAAGTGCTGTGACATTTTTGGGAATTGCTGGGCTCTAAGAGCTTCCTGGAGTGAGGAGACCAGAGAGCCTGCCAGATGACATGTTTGCACATGGGAGGGGCGGTGTGGAAGAGCGTGGAGTTTGGACCCTGCACTGCCCGCCCGGCTGCAGGAGCTGCTTGCTCACTCCCGTACTTGGTGCCGTGCCCAGGGAACTGTCAGACCACAAGCAATCATTGTTAATTCACAGTGCAAACCGGAGCCATTAAGGAAAATGTTACAAACCTGTTCCAGGATCATAACATTTTAGAGGGCAAAGAAATAAGATGCCAGTCTACCCATTTTACGAGATCACCCGTGGAAAGCTGCTGCCAAATGTAAAACAAAGACAATTTTTTCCATATGATCAACCATGGATTGTTTTCTTAAATATTGATTGGTTTGTTTGAAAGCATTACGGAGAGACAGAGACAGAAAGAGAGATTTTCCATCTGCTGTTTCACTCCCCAGATGGGGGCAATGGCCAGGGCTGGGCCAGACAGGAGCCAGGAGCCAGGAGCTTCATCTGGATCTCCCACATGGGTCAAGGGCCCAAGCACATGGGCCATCCTCTGCTGCTTTCCCAGGCACATTCGAAAGGAGCCGGATTGGAGGTGGAGAAGCCAGGACTCGAACCTGTGACCATATGGGATGCTGGTGCTACAGACGGTTTAACCCGCTAAGCCACAACACAGGTCCCCTATCATGGATTTAAAAAAAGACCATGTGCTTAGAGAAACAAATTTGCTGTAGCTTGGGTAATAGGGACAACAAAGGCAGAAAGTCTGGGCAGCTGACTTTCAGGATGCAGCAGAATAATTTGATTATCTTGTGGGGATTCCCTGGTCTTTTTTTTTTTTTTTTTTTTAATGTATTTGAGTGGTAGAATTACAGACAAAGGGAGAGAGAGAGAGAGATCTTCCATCTGCTAGTTCACTCCCTAAATGGCCACAATAGCCAGAGCTGGACCTATCAGAAACCAAGAGTCAGGAGCTTCCTCCAGGTTCCCTTGGGGATGCAGGGGCCTGAGCACTTGGGCCATCCTCCTTTCCCAGGCCATCAGCAGAGAGCTGGATCCGAAGAGGAGCAGCCGGGACTGAACCCGGCACCCATATGGGATGCTTAACCTACTACGCCGCCATACCAGGCCCGATTCCCTGGTCTTGACACGTTCATGCTCCAGGGATTTGTGTGGGTCGTCCCATGTGGGATGCAAACTGAATTCCTTGGAACTTCACTGTGAAATCTGCTTCTCAAGAACACTTTCCAAAAGATTTTGCCCGAAGATTGGCAAAAGCTGCAGATCCCAAAGGTGTATTCATCAGAATTCACAGCTAAACGTGGTAACAGAAGAGACGGCTGGGTGAAGGCCTCACGGTGACAGATGTGAGTATGTGAGGTGACAGATGCATTTGTCAGCTTGATTTAGTTGCTTCACAATTTGTACATCGAGCCATCACATTGTGCACCACCAACATATTCAACTTCCATTTGTCAGCTATGCTTTAATTTACTTTCATTAAAGATGTATTTACTTATTTAAAAGCCAGAGTGACAGAGAGACATCTTCCATCCACTGGTTCACTCCCCAAATGGCCACTAAAACCAGGTTTGGGCCAGTTCGAAGCCAGGGGCCTGGAACTCCATTCTGCTCTCTCACATGGGTGGCATGGGCCTAGGGCCGTCTTCCACTGCCTTCCCAGGTGCTTTAGCAGGGAGCTGGATCAGAAGTGGAGCAGCCGGACTCAAACCAGCACTCTCTTCTGGGATGCCGGCATCGCAAGCCGCAGTTTAACCCACTGCTCCACAACGCCAGCCCCTGTACCTTAATTTAAAAAAAGAAAATGAAAGGGTAGAGGGATTTGTCCAATGGTTACTGAGATTTTCATTCAATCTTTGTTTCACAATGAGGATGTTTGATATCATGCCCCCATGCAGACCAAGAAGTGAGAAATTTTACTCTTCCGGCTTCTTCCCAAGATGACAGCTTCCTTCCAGGTGACTTTCTCCATGTGACCACCTCTTCCGGGGTCTGGTAACTGCTCCCTTCCCTCATCACTTCCGGTTGCGGTTATCCTGTGGGGTTCCCCTACACCCTGCACACATCTTTATTTGTAAGTCATTCTCTTTCTGTTTCCAGCTAGTCATTCTGCAAGTTTGATCACAGCCTGGAAGGACAGTCTAAGACATGATAGGGTGCGAAGCTGGGCATAGGTGCTCCTTGGGAGCTAGTGCAATGTCCAGCCCATTGCCGAACCCCCTGTGCCAGCGCCTACTGTGTGGGGCTCAATCTGCAGCTTCTCCCTCGCCCCACCCCCCAGCCTGCCAATTGTCCACTTCCCTCTCGTCCTACTGCCACCTCAGAGGTTCACATCACCACCGTGTCCCCCTGACTCCTTGGCAGGCCATCCAGTAAGCCTCTGCATGCATTTTTTTTTTTAAGATTTATTTTATTTGAAACATAGAGTTACAGAAAGGGAGAGACAAAGGCACAGGGAGATCTTTTATCCACTGGTTCACTCCCCAAATGGCTACAAGGGCCAGGGCTGGGCCAGGTGGGCAGCCAGGAGTCAGGAGCTTCATCTGGGTCTCCCATGTGGGTGCAGGCGCTTCTGCTTCCCAGGTACATTAGCAGAGAGCTGGATTGGAAGTGAAGCAGCCAGGACATGAACTGACACAGGGAATGCTGGCTTCGCAGAGACAGCTTAACCTGCTATACCGAAACACTGGCACCTCCCCACACCCCCACTTTTTCCCTAAGTTTATTGTATTTGTTTGAAGGCACGGTGACATACATACATACATACACAGACAAGAGAGAGAAAAATCTTCCAAACGCTGATTCACTCCCCAAATGTCCACAACAGTCATATCTGGGCCAGGCCAAAGCCAGAAGCCAGTAAATCCAGTCTCCCACATGGGTGCAGGGACCCAGTGCACCTGGGCCGTCATCTATTGCCTTCCCAGGCACATTAGTAGGAAGCTAGATCAAAAGCAGAGCAGCAGGGACTTGAACCGGCATGTCAATATGGGAGGCTGATGCCACGAGCAGTGGCTTAACCTACAGCACCACAGGGACGCCCCCTCCCCGCTCCCCCCAACCACAGGAGGCTAAGGTCTGGCTCCTGCTGAACCCAGTGGCCTCACCTCCTCCTGACTCTGCTGCAGCCACCTGGCCTCCTTTTCGGCCCTGGAGTGAGCTGTGCTCTTTCTGGCTTCAGAGCTTCCTGCCTGCATCCTTTGTGTTAGAAATTGTTCTTGGGGCAGGCGCCTTGGCTCACTTGGTTAATCCTCCGCCTGTGGCGCCGGCATCCCATATGGGCACCTGGATTCTAGTTCCGGTTGCTGCTCTTCCAGTCCAGCTCTCTGCTGTGGCCCGGGAAGGCAGTGGAGGATGGCCCAAGTGCTTGGGTGCCTGCACCTGCATGGGAGACCAGGAGGGGGCTCCTGGCTCCTAGCTTCGGATCGGCGCAGTACTGGCCGTAGCGGCCATTTGGGGAGTGAACCAATGGAGGGAAGATCTTTCTGTCTCTCTCTCACTGTGTGTAACTCTACCTGTCAAAAAAAAAAAAAAAAAAAAAAGTTCTCCCTTTCTCCCTCTCATCCTGCAGGTCTCAGCTGCAGTGTCTGCACTGGCTTGGAGAAACCTTGCCTAATTACCCAACCCCCACACCCAGACCAAGTTGCTTTATTCATCTCCGAGAGCACCATTAATTGGCTGATGGGACGTGATGGGTTAAGCTACTGCCGGTGATGCCAGTGTCTCCTATGGGCTCCGTTTCCAATCCAGCACACCTGGGAAAGCAGCAGAAACTGCTCTACCTGTGCTCTTGCTACTCACGCGGGAGACCCAGCTGGAATTCCAAGTTCCTGGCCCAGTCATTGCGGCCATTTGGGGGAGGAAGCCAGCAGTTGGAAGATCTCTTTCTCTCTCTCCCCCACTGTGTCTTTCAAATAAATAAATCTTTAAAGAAAACCCCACGATTAATTGTTTGTATCGTCAATGTCTGGTTAATCTAGTGTTTTTCTGCCTTGCCTGCGAACACCCTCACCTTACCATCAGCCTGCTAGCCTGGATGGCTGGAACCTCCCACCCCCAACTGGTTCTCCACAAGTTCTTCACAAGGCTGCTCTCCTGATCTTTTCAAAACATAAAGGGCTCATGGCCTCTCTCAGCTGAAGACCCTCTGGGAGCTTCCTGCCATGCTGAGAGCCAAGCCCCCGCGCCCACTCTGGCTGCTGCCCTGTTGCAGGGGCTGCTGGCGCCATCTCCGACTTCGTCCCCCAGCTCTGCACCTCACTCAGCCTGCACTCTCTGCTGCTCCTCCTCCTGCTGCTCTTTCTCACCTGAAGTTCTGTCTCCGGATTTCTGGTGTACCTGAGTGGTTTGGGAGGGACGCCCACATTCCCATGCACACAGCTGTGTTTTGTTTTCCTCATGCTCTCTCTCCTATTCTTTGGGTACTCAAACTCCCCTCCCTTAGCAGATCCTCTCCCACTCCAGTCGTTTTGTGTTTTCCAATTGAGGTATGATTGATATGTAAAATAGGGTGCAGATTTAATATATGCATCTTGATGGGTTTGAAAATAAATGTACACCTGTGAAACTGTCACCAGAAACAGTACCATAGGTATAACCATAACCTCCAAAAATTTCTTCCAGTCTCTTTTGTTTTTGTATGTGTGTGTGCTAAGAACATTTAACATAAGGTCGGGTGCCAGTTCTGTGTCCTCTTCCAATCCAGCTCTCTGTTAATGGCCTGGGAAAGCAGTGGAAGATGGCCCAGGTGCTTGGGCCTGTGCACCCTCGTGGAGACCTTAAAGAAGCTCCTGGCTCCTGGTTTCAGATTAGCCCAGCTGTGGCCATTTGGGGAGGGAACCAGCACATGGAAGACCTCTCTCTCTGTCCTTCTCTCTGTCAGTAACTCTTTAAAATAAATAAATAAAAATCTAAAAAAAAAAAAATTAAAAGCCAAAACATATGATCTCCCTTTGAGCACATTTTTTTAAAAACAAATTTATTTATTTGAAATAGTTACAGAGAGAGAGAGAGAGAGAGATTGAGATTTTCCATCCACAAGTTCACCCCCAGCTGGCTGCACAGCCAGGGCACATTAGTAGGAAGCTAATTAGGCCAGCCCGGAGCCAGGAGCTTTTTCCAGGTCTCCCTGTGCATGCAGGGGCCCAAGCACTTGGACCATCCTTCTGCTGTTTTTCCTAGGCCATTAGAGGGAGCTGGATGGAAGTGGAGCAGCCAGGACACAAACTTGTGCCCTTATGGGATGCCGGCGTCACAGGTGGCAGCTTTACCTGCTGTGCCACAATGCCAGCCCCTTCCTCACATGGTAAGTGTTCCACAGTGTTGTTAACTGTGTGCACTTCCCTGCACAGCGGATCACTCAGGCTTACTCACCTGCGTGGGTGAAACCAGGCAGCCTCTGACTTAGACCTCCCTGATTCCCTTCCCCCTCTACTCTGTCCCGCCCTCTGGGGTTGACTATTTCCATTCCTGATGTAAGTGAGGCCCATTCGGATCTACTGCCGCCTACTCCGCCGCAGGTGTGGGACGCAACTCTGATCAGTGTGGTCTCCATTCCCTGGGGCTTTATTACACACAGAAAGAGTAGACCAAGTCTTAAACTAGGCCGTACATAAGGATTTCATAAATGTGTCAAGTCCACTTTTTATTTAGCACGCTTTCATTGAGCACTTTCTATGCTCCCTAATTACTGTTCTAGAAACTTGGAAAACATGTGGCAGTGGACAAAGCAGACGAAACTCCCTGCCCTAGACAACTCTGGAGCTCAGACAGCATGAGACATGTGATTGCTGTAATTCTGAGTGCTAAAAGGGGTTCCGAGCCTTCGCTGGACCTGTCAAAGACTTTTATAATCAAATAAATTTTTGTCGTAGATTTTTGTGGGATGCTAAGACTAATTACTCTACAAAGCATATTAAAAATGTGAGATATTAATAGAAAGAGACATTAAAATTCAATTCTTTCAAAGAGCTGAATCACACTGCTGGGGAGAGATAATATGTAATCAGTTCTGAATCGAAAATGACTCTGGAAAGTCGAGACATACCACAAGGTCATGCTCACATCTCTTCTCTTCAGAGATTTTCAGAACATAGCGCTGTATTAAAAAGAAAATTGAGAGAGAGTGAGGAGAGGGAGAGAGAGGAATTCTAGGCTTAGGAACTGAAAGTAATATGAGTTTGGTACTGCAGAAAAAATGGAGAAAGAAGTTTCCATCAGTTCAGTATAGTCAATGACTTTTTGGCAATAGTTTAATTCTTCCACTTTTATGATTAATTTTGTTCTTTTATTTAGTGAAGGAGAGTTGCACAGTGATGGATTCCTGCTAATATTTTGACAAGTTTTCTTGCAGTCTTTTTTCACATTCATGCTATTTTAAAAAATATTTCTGTCTTTCTGTCTCTGGATTTCTGTCTATCTATTTATTGATTTACCCTTTTCTAAAAGATTGGTTTATTTATTTGAAAGGCATAGAGAGAGAGAGAGAGAGAGAGCGCTCCCCCAGTTGCTCCTTCACTTCCCAAATGTCCATAACGCAGGGTCTGGACTGGGCTGAAGTCAGGAGCTGGGAACTCAATCCAGGTCTCTTATGTGGGTGACAGGAACTCAGTGACTTGAGCCATCACTGCCACCTTCCAGGGTCTTCATTGGCAGGAAGCTGGAGTCAGGAGCCGGAGCCAAGGACAGAATGCAGGGATTCCCATGCAAACTCCTAACCAGTGCCCTAACCACCAGGTTAAACCCTCATCCCGGTCTCACTCATGTTTGAATCTCCATCATTTTGCCAAATGCCTGGCATGTGGCACAGGTGCAATAAATGTTTTTTAAACACAATAATCAGTAACAGAACCAACTTCTTCCAACAACAGTAGTCATTCCATTTCCTGTGAACCGACATCACTGTTTATGTCTTTTTTATGGCATGACTGTCTATAGAGCCCTTTTGTGGGCAGGAGCCACATAACACCAGGCTTAGGGCTTTGTGTATTGTAAGCATGCAATTAATATTTTAATGAAGTTGGGTAAAAATTTTTTTGAGAAACAGAAGTATTTACTGTGATCTAATTAATAGGAGAAATAAATGCATGTAGGTTCAACACAGATGCAGGAATATAAATGGGACCTTTCTTCCCTCAGTCCTGTCATCCCAGAGCCAGCAGGGAGATTTTGAGGTTTCAGCCTGCTGATTTATGCACGCAGGGCCTAGCAGCCAGAGCAGCTCAATCAGCTTGCCCTTCCTCTCCCTTTCCCTCAGGCCTCCCCTCCAGCTAAAGATAATTGTGACTTTCACACTGCAAGGAAAAAATGGTGCCTGACAAGTCAGAGGGTTGTTCCAGTTCAACAGCAAGTCTGTTGCAGGCTCAGGGACTGCTGCTGTGGCATAGTGAGTTAAGCCTCCACCTGCAGTGCCGGCACCTCTTATGGGCGGCGGTTCCTGTCCTGCCTGCTACTCTTCCCATCCAGCTCTCTGCTACCGCCTGGGGAAGCAGTAGAGGATGGCCTAAGTGCTTGGGCCCCTGCACCTGCATTGGAGACCTGGCAGAAGCTCCTGACTTTTGGCTTCGAATTGGCGCAGCTCCAGACGTTGTGGCCATTTGGGGAGTGAACCAGTGGATGGAAGACCTCTCTCCCTCTCGGTCTATCCCTCTCTCTAACTCCCTCTCAAATATATAAAATTAAACAAACAAACAAACAAACAAAAAAACCTGCTGGCTCAACAGATCTGCCCTCCCAGGCTCCTTGGGGTTGGCCTTCTTTTATACAAGCCCTGGCATTGGGAATGCAGGGCTGGCCCTCACACTTGGGACTCAGCTAACACACAGTGTGCTCAGAGAAGCTGCTGGATGATTCCAACCTCCCCTCCACATTCAAATATTCAGATGGGTGGAAGCTTCTTCATCGGACACCGGAAGACACACCCCTCCCAGCGTACACCTGTGTCAAATACCCAGCTCTCGTTAATGCCCTGTGTGCACAACCCTGCCAGCCAGGAGCTGCGCACCATCATCTTTGTGCAGTGGGAGGGACTCGGAGGTGTAAATTATTTAACATGCAGAGGGCAGCGTGCAGGTCCTTAGCTTCGTCCCAGCCTGCCTAATGATGCTGAAACCGAAGTCTGGATTGTGCATGTCCAAGCTCATGTCCACGCTGGCGAAGCGTCCCGTGTTGCCTTTGGCCTGAACCAGCACACCAGCTGGAATTTAGGTCTGTGCTGCGTAGCCACAGTCAGCTACCCCAGGCTTTCCTCACCTTGGGCATTTGGGGCCCAGTGTTTCTTTGTCATGGGCTGTCCAGAGCCTGGGAGGATTTTCTGCAATATCCCTGACCCGTGCACATCAGGTATCCACAGCACCACTGCTCTCCTGAGCAGCCGAGGCAACTGCTAATATTCCCAGGTGTTGCCAGTGTGGACGGAGGAGCAAAATTGCCCCCTGTTAGACCCTGAATTACTTGCTCATCATCCTCCAAGCCACAGAGAGGTATTCCCAAGCTCCTCTGGGTCCCCTCACTGGCTGAGCTGTGTCTTCTGTGTCTGAGCCTTAGCTTTGACTTATGTGAAACCTTAGCTTTCTCTCCTATTTGCCACTGGTTATTGGTCTCCTGGTTGCTTGGGCAGCTGGAGCTCATTTTCCTGTGACCTTGGATGACCTCCTTGTTGTCCTGTTTCACCCATAAACTTCTGCACCAATGAACACGATGTACATTTCCAAA